TATAAGTTATATTCCTCTCAATTTCATTATATTTTAGCATGTGATGATCAATTCATCAAATTCAACTCGCACGCAATAAAATTAAACGAGCACAAGTTTTAAAGACAGAAATCACATTTCACTTACGCTGTAATTTAGCAAGCTTTGACCCCTTAACCTAGAAAAACATATTCATCAAAAATTCCTTCACTTCGAGGAAACTTTGAGAGAAAAATTTCGAAATGGAGTTCCAGATCACAAATAACGCAAAACGGCACCATTCCATCGAAAAGAGGTATTTCACAGTTTGTATGCATGCAGTGGTCTTCGACACCTTCGACAGCGCAACCAGGATCGTTCTCTGCTTAAATGGATGTAGCCAGATCAAATGAAGTACCTCGAATACAACTTTGTATAGTTTATCCTGGAGATTTCCGCATGCAGTCTATAAGCTTTTTTTATCCTTGCTGGATAATTTGAATCGCTCGAGTGCGAAGTTTGTTTACAACCTCGTGACAGACAGGATAGAAGCCCGGGTAGTTTGGCCACTGGATTGCCTTGAACCTACAATATTAGAGTTTATGGCACCGAAAATGTCTNGAGAAAAATTTCGAAATGGAGTTCCAGATCACAAATAACGCAAAACGGCACCATTCCATCGAAAAGAGGTATTTCACAGTTTGTATGCATGCAGTGGTCTTCGACACCTTCGACAGCGCAACCAGGATCGTTCTCTGCTTAAATGGATGTAGCCAGATCAAATGAAGTACCTCGAATACAACTTTGTATAGTTTATCCTGGAGATTTCCGCATGCAGTCTATAAGCTTTTTTTATCCTTGCTGGATAATTTGAATCGCTCGAGTGCGAAGTTTGTTTACAACCTCGTGACAGACAGGATAGAAGCCCGGGTAGTTTGGCCACTGGATTGCCTTGAACCTACAATATTAGAGTTTATGGCACCGAAAATGTCTTTCTTCATATAATGAGAGCGATAGAAAAGGCAGAAAATGATGTTCTTACCTCAATTTCACTCAAGCTATTTGTATAGACGTTTCTCGATGGTGATTCATTTTGTAACGCCGGCAAGCCGTGTTGACCACAGTTTTTTGCTTCACGAAAATATCTCAACGTCCAGAAAATTAAACATGACTTAAGAATATGTTCATGTTAACTTCTGGGCGTCAGACGACATTTTAAGCATAAAGCCAACCCACTGAATCGTAAGATTCGATGGGTAGATCACCTCTTTGCTACCAAGTAAGGATATGCTATCGAAGGCGCAGCGATCAAGAGGAGTTACTGTGGGTAGGGTGGGAAGTGAAACTTCTTATTTGTTGTTGTTGAAAAAAAAAAATTTAAAAATGAAACTTGACGTGTGGAAGGGAAATTCTTTTATGGGAACACATTTTAAACAACTAGCCTTATTAAAAATGAAAGAGCAACGATTTAAATCTGGAATTTTCAAATTTCCCGAAGATTCTCTTCCCTTCCCGTGTGACAATAAAACAGCTGTCATTCATGCCTATTCCACCGGAAAAGCGGCAAGAGAGCTTATAGGTGGGATAGAAAAATAAACTAAAAATTGAAGAAATGGAATGAAGTTTCTTCCATCCGGTCAATCCTATTTCTGTGAAAAACCGGAACGCTCTTTACTTCAAAATCGCTATCAGAGCAATTCAGCGATGTCAGCGCACTTAATTTTTCAATAACAACTAACTTCCGGTTTGTCAGCGGAAATGCTGTTCAAAATTTTCAAACAAGGGGAACATGGAAGACGAATTGTCTCGTTGGATTCAAGAGGCTGTTTTCTCCTCGTACATGGAAGAATGTCAGATATTCAATGAGTTAGACGGTGCATATGGATTAAACTACAATCTTGTACAAGAATCCTCAAGTGGAGCTGCGAGGAAGCGTAAGTGCTCTTGGGATGAGGACAACTCTGTTTCGGCGGGAAAACAATCAAGGAGCGGTTGACGATTTGACGAGACAAGACAAACGCAATATCAAGCCTTTTGTTTTTCACATTTTCAGTTTGAGCATCGATGAGATAAAACATTATTCATGAAACTGATTTCCCTCTTGAAAATGTTGGAAATATCAGACGCTGAAGCAGGGTGAAGATCACACATTTCCGCTTTCGGCCTTCGTCTTGCACAGAAATGCCCCGGTCGATTTTGTGGGGTCAGTTTATTTTCGGCAAGACGTTTCTTTTGAGTAAAAACCTCTGGGACCAAGGTATACCAACATTTTACCTTGAATTTTTCTCAAATTTCGGGAATTCATGTGCTAACCTAAATTTCGGTGGATACTGTTCAAGGCTATGAAATTTATAAAGGAAAGACGCCATATTTGAAGATATCGCTAAGGCAACTGTCATGGAAGTCTTCTGGTACGTGCTCTGGAACATGTCCTATGTGGCCTGGTGACAAGTTGGTAAATATCTTGTTCCTGTAAAGCCAAAAAACAGTTAAAGTGTTCCTTCTTCTCGAAGAACCAGGGCCGTTTGCATTTTTGAATTTGGTAAGAGCGGGCATATTTTATATTGGAATTCTTTCAGTCATTTCTACTCTTTATGAACTGAAGCAATTGTTAATCAACTCCTGACTATTTGATCACGAGACTAAGATGATCTTTTGTTACCTCATAAGTGTCATCAACCTATAAAAGGCCATTCAAAGCCGATTTGGATTTGATTAACGTAATCCAGTTATACTATGAAAATAAAACTTGTATTTCTGCCGATGTATGTTGTCTCATCAACGATAATCCAGATGGTCTCTAGAGTGTTCATATCACGCGAGTTTGCCAGCCGGTCGTCCTTTGGTATAAAGTTTGCAAATTCTTCTGATGCCATGCCTGCATGAAATGTGCACCGCGTTTTTTCTCTTCAATGCTTTCCAACCTTTGTTAGTCACATATCTCCCTAACGTTGTGCTCGAAACTTTGATATTGTTTTAAGTTGAAGTTTTTTTACCTTTCAATCTTGTTGAATTATTACCCATATACTCACAGCTTTTTCGATAACATTTCTCACTCAGTTAATAAAAAAATGGCCATCTATTCCTTGGAGTTTCCTGGTTTGTCTTCTAACATCTTTACTCTTGACCACCTGTTCACTCATCATTCAGACGTCTTCAACAGTTTGGCAATTTCTTTGACTAAATGGCCAGAATACCGTGAAAGTAGATGCCTGAGCTGTAGCACAAACAGCGCATGCCTTCATTTTTGCGAAAGAGTGGAGAGAACAAAAGAAAACAGCAAAAATACGAAAATAGAAAACCTACACAATGGGCAGGAAAAATATGACGGGGAAAAAAACTTGTGTATGTGCACATTTGGGGCAAAAATGAAAAAAAATATTATATTTTCTTCAAATTTTAGATTGAAATTGCTTTGAACTGTTATTTAGAAAAATTTCACAACTAAATTGGTTTACATTGGCCTAAAGAAGCATTACATGCTTTGCAAAAAATACAATTTAAAATCAGAACGAACTATTGAAACACCCTGCAAACACTAGCCAGGAAACAAAAATAAACAAACTACAGTGGGTTAAATTCTGTGTTACTTGAGGGCTGATTTAATTTCCCTACCAGCTATCTACCCAAAACTTCGAGGGAAGCATACTCGCTTTTGATACAAAACTCAGGTTTGTTGAGAAGGAGCCTGGGTTGTAGCTCTATCAAACGGACTACTATAAGATTCTTAGAAATCATCTGCAAAATAATCATCACGGCTGTGCTCTAAGGAAAATTGAAGGGAGCCCAGTGCTCTGAAACTGTAAAATCTAGGGTGCCCAGCATATGATTTGTGTGAATTATCTAAGATTTTCTAGTTGCCCGTGGGCAAAAGTTAGATGCCAGGGGCCACCAGGCTCTGCTAGAGCACAGCCCTGATGAAGAAGTCATCAAGGTTACAGACCCAAAGCATACATTTTGTATTACAAAACAATGAAAAATATGGAGTATATTTGAGACCAGAACAAAGTTGAAAATTAAGTTAACACTGGGTTAAATTTGCAGATGTGACCAAAGAGGGGTGTGTCTGCAAGCATCTTTACTTTGCTTCACTCCGTTTAGTTCTATTTTTATTATTTCATTCCATTTATTTTAATTTATCACCAAGTACCATAAGCCAGAGCTTATTGAGCCTATTTACAACTCTATTCAACTGGATGTACAGTCAAACCTCCGTAATCATGAGGTGTCTGTATTAAGTGGGTGGGGTTTGACTATACAATTGGGGAATTTAAAAAGGTACAGAGTGAAATAAAGGGGGCACTAGCAATCTGTCTGAAAGAAGCTAAAGTCACATTCGGCTGTTGCTTCACAGGATTCTTACACTTTTTTTGTGCTTATCAACCTCCTGCATGCAACCATAAACCAATAGTACAAGCTAGCTGAACCAGTTACCATTTTGTTACGTATAAGTGCAATCTCAGTTGTGAGTGATTTATGTATTAAAACATTAAAAAGGTCATTGATATTATCACACTCATAAAAGTCCTAACAAAATAAAAAAAACTAAACTGAGTCCATCTCCTTTCTGAATCAATATTATTTTTTCATGAATTGCAGTTCTTCTTTTAGGTGCTGCCATAATGAGTGCATGGGTATTTTCCCAGTAGTAGTAAAGTAGTGGTTAAATAGTGTCTCATGCAGGACTGTCGCTAACATTTCAAGCTGCCGGGTACATTCAATTAGTAGGAGAGGAATCATAAAGCAAGGAAGGACTTTTTGTGCTATTTACCTTCTGCTTCCTATGAAAGTAGCCGGGGAAAATCCCCGCCCCTGGCTCTTAGTGACAGCCCTGCTCATTAATTTCATGCCTGTCAATCACATCACTGTTGTATCTTGGATTCGATCTATTATAATCACACTGCGCTCAACAGCTTGAAAGTGTCTCCATGGATCGTAATCTAGAACAAGTAGTGTTAACGTATTTAACAGCAAGAACTATAGCTGTTGTTGTACAGAGTAGTAATATGCACAGGACTAGAAAATTCCATCTCTGATATGATTTATATAGCAGTTCCTCTTTCCAAGTTCTGCTTGATTTCAGCAGTAAATGGGTCATAAAACCTGGCCAGTTTCTGGTTGAACTTCATGTTACGCTCATTAATATAATCAATGTCTTCTTCATCCAAGTGAGCTCGTCTACGGCTGTACTTCTCTCTCTTTTGAATTCTAAAGAGAAAGCCAAAATAAGAGAAATTTGAACAAACCTACAGATCATATCCTAATTTGTTTTCTCAAAGGTTGGCTCTCTTGAAAGTCTGTAAGTCAAGTTATCCAAGTCACGTAAGTCCTGCGAACTTTGCAGGTTGCAAATTTGCAAATTTGACTCACAACATAGCCAACCTCACTTGGTCCCTATGTTTTTTCCGATTTCAAGAGCCATTAAATGCACAGACTTGGCATTTTTTACTCGTGTCTTGAAAGAAAAGCAAGGAAAGGTCTCCGATCTGCCCTTCTGCAGGTCCAGTAAAATATCACCAGGCATAGATCCAGTGGTAAAGAAAAAAATATACTGTACTTGATGCTTTCTAGCCTTTAATCCCTGCCTGTAATCCAATGTTTCAAATTGAATCAACAGGTGACAGGGTTTTGTGGGAAAGAATCTAGCTCTTGACTTGTATAACATGTGATGCACATACAGTAACCTACATGTAATAGAGTACTAAAGTGTGACGTCATAAAAATGAAATTTCTGAAATTATGGGATTTGTCAGAATATTCTGAAAGAATAATGTCCAAGAGGCCTACTTACAAAAAATGAGCATTTCGGGGCAAATTGTCTCTGAGATGGTAGCCCAGTTATGCTTAGAAAGCTCCATACAACCCCTTCTAAATTTTTTTGGGGTTGACCCAAAAAAAAAAAAATATGAAGGGTTTGTATGGAGTTTTCAGAGTATAACTGGGCTACGATCTCAGAGACAATTTGCCCCGAAATGCTCATTTTTTGTAAGTAGGCCTCTCAGACATTGTTCTTTCAGAATATCCTTACAAATCCCATAATTTCAGAAATTTCATTTTTATGACATCATCACTTTAGTACTCTGTTTGTTAATGGTTATGATGACAAGTACATGTATGATAAAGCTGGCAAATTCATAAGGTTGTTTCACTGTTGGTCAAATAATTCACCACAATGATTTTTTTTTTATTTCTAATAATAGCATTAAATTAATATGGTAAAATGTACAGTCTCTTTAGCTCGTGTGCCTCCTCTTTTCTCTTCCCTTGCATAATAATGTACTTTGGAAACAAGAAACCGATGGATAAAGGACAGGTTTAAGTTACTTACTGCTTTTCCAAGTCTGCAACCATTCTGTCCACAGCAGCTTCAGGCACTTTACCCTGTCCTCCATAAGTCACATCATCTACACTTGGGTACATTGCCTCTCCTCTACAAAAATACATGTGTTCATTCATGTCCAGCTCTAAAATCAGAAGTCTAGTGCCCTTTTACAGAAAACAATTCTCCATGAAATTGCCACAAGATGATTGTTAACAAATTTGCAAATTCAATTTATCATGACTTATCTTTAATGGTATTCTTAAATGACATTAAGGTACCCAAATTCACACAGCATTTATAAACTTAGAGCAAAGGCAGGGCTGTGCTCTAGCAGAGCCCGGTGGCCCCTGGCGCCTAACTTTTGCCCTCGGGCGACTAGAAAATCTCAGATTTTCATACAAATCATATGCTGGGCACCCTAGATTTTACAGTTTCAGAGCACTGGACTCCCTTCAATTTTCCTTAGAGCACAGCCTTGAAAGGGTTTATTTCATTTTTGGCACTGGACACGGCAATACATGTACATGGTCTGTGTCTTAAATTTACCTAATAACACCTAGTTAAGCAATAGGGATGATTTCATGACAAGCCGAACAAAATCTGCAAAATTATATAAATAGCATTTAACATATAACCAAGTGACTTTAGATGTGTTTATTCAGTTTTTCTCAAGTCAAAACAAAAATAATGTTTTCCTTGTTGTCCAATGGACTGAGTACACTACCTTCAATTTCCCAATTTTTCCACCTTTTAGTCATTCAAACCATGGAGAAATCTTTTTCGTCCCTCCCCAAACTGACAAAAATCTTGCATGCACTCAGTTTTCTCGCCACCAATATAAGCCGTTTACAATCTGAGACACTACACTTACTTTTGGTCTTTTTCTCTTGAGTATTCATCTACAGAAGGTTTCATCTGTTTGGTCAGCCGCTGGTACTGTCTGTACTGAGCTGCAGCATAGTCTGTATGACACACACACAAAAAAAAGGGTGTGGTAAAGCTTAAAATCAACTTAAGTGACATGCATCCTTCACGTATGGCTTTCCATGTAGTCATCTCTCCATTGTTTACATGTAACTAGGGATTACATGTAACAGGTTAAGACTCTGGTCACTTCCAGTATATTTTCTCCATTTTATGGTAATAGGATTTGGCTCATACAGTAGATAGTCAGTAGCATAGCTGTTACAAGTCAAAATTAAATTCCGGTTAAATATCTTTAATCTACAGCTGTAGATTGTTTCTCAATTTCCTTTGTCTCCTAGCCCTAACTGATGAATAATTAGGGTTGAGAATCAACCTAGGTTAAAAAGTTTTAACCTGAATTTAATTTTGACCTGTAATTATATCATAGCCAGTCAGTAGACTGGTAGGCATGAGCGATTAATCGCTCTACCACATGTAGTAAAGTATGCATTTTGGGGTGAACTAAAGAGCTCAAGAGCTTAAAATGATGATGAGGTCAGTGCATTCTAGTCATCAGTGCAATCAACAGAATTATAAGCATTTTTTATATGCATTTTTTAGGATATTTCTGTGGAAATGATATTCCGACCCGCAGACAGCCAGGGCTACAAGAAGTCGAAAAGCTGGCTACGCCCCTGACGGCAGTCTGGTGAAAGATGACTCGGTACAGCTCTGTTTTCCCAAGGAAGAATCTACAGCTACATGAAACCCAGACAAAACTACATTTACCCACATGTATCAAGGTCATAAAGTACAGACATATTAGAACATATTAGTTGATATTATGACCTTGTTTTAGTTTGGATTATCATACCATTAGGTACTGATTCTAGGTCACCACTGGTCTTGTATCTGTTTATCCTTTCTGGGTGAATTGAAAAGGGAGATACACATAGAGGAACCAAAAATATTGTTTAAAAAGAGGCGGGAGCATAGACGGGTCTTAGGTTCATAAAAGGGTCATAATTTTGAGCTCCTACTTTTTAGAGTAACCACTTTTTGTGTAAGTTAAAATTCGTAAATAAGGCAACTTATGTGGCCCCATAGCTAGCTTAAGACTGCTAATAATAATAATAAATTACTGAAGGAGAAAGTCATTGTGTGTGTGTAATTTGTAAGGTTTCTCTGTTAACATACATGTAGATACCTGAAAAGCCTTGATCAGGATTCTTCTTTTTTCTCTTCCTCTCCAGTCTATCTGCATCCTCTGCAGTTACTTCTAACAACTTAACCCTGTCATAATTTTCTCCACGGGCTTCAGCTTCCTACATAGTGCAGTTTTAAAATCAAAATGACTCACTTTCACAAAAAACAAACATTGACTGACACACTCCATATATCAACATGTACAGCTATCTTTCAATGCTATTACCAATAATATTAATGACTGGATGAAGCCTCACAAAACAACCTCAATTACATGAACCTTGGATTTTTGAAATCTGATTACCAGTAAGTACATTACATACCAGCTACTTTAGTGATGTTATAATACATGAAAATTATGTTATTAATGATGTACCTTTCTGGCGTCTTCTTCCTTGTTCTCCCATTCAGTCTTCCTTTGCATTGCATCCCAGTTTGCAGGCAACTTTTTCCGTCTATCTTCTTCGACAACTTCTTGGTGATTTAATTTTCGAGCTTCATTCTAGAAAAAAAAGGGTTAATAATTTAACTTCTACAAATTATACTTTTAACAAAACTTAACTGTTTCTTAACTTAGGTCTTAAGTAAACACAATACTCCTAATAGCAGGGCTGATGGAAAATCCAGTTTAATGTAAAAATTTAATATTGGCATTATTGGGAAAAAGTAAGATCCTGATTATTTGAGATGGAGGCTGGTATTCACTAGCAATGGACTTGATTAAAGTTGTGATATACACCCAATGTAACTATAGATTTTATATATTGTTATTGACCCTGTGAAATCAAAATTCAGAACCACATGCTTGTCAAAAGAGAAAGAAAGAATCAGACCATTTTCCTCTTCTTCTGACATTCTAAACCAATCTCAATGCTTATCGAGATTGGTCTAGTTCTTGTCATTCTTCAGTTCTTGTTTTCACTAGTCATTCACCCATAAAAGGAATCAGAAAACCTTTTTCAATGGATCATCTTTACAGTCTGTGTTTCTTTTTGCAGCTGTAACTACAATTCCATTGTACAGGGTTCGTACTCTTTTGAGTTCTTCAAATTCCATGACTTTCGATGACTTTTTCCATAATCTTTTCTAGTTTTCCATGACCTTAGGTTTAGCTGTCACTGTAAAAATTTTCAAAACTTTACTTGTTTTAGCATATTTTTTTACCATACACAGTTCAACAGAAACAAACCTTGGTATCCACCAAAATGCGTCACTGTCGTTCGAACTGTTTAATTACTCCTCTTTATCTTTCATTATCCTTGCTTTATCATCTGTGGTAACTAAGCTACCAAACAAAACTTTTTACAATTTTCCATGACTTTCAAGGACCAAAAATAATCATTAAATTCCATGACTTTCCAGGCTTTGAAAATGAAATTCTTAAATTCCATGACTTTGCAGGTTTTCCATGACCTGAACAAACCCTGCTGTTAGTAAAAACCAGCCTTGTAAGTATAACTTCATATCAATAAATTACTTTTACTGGCACTTCCATATATTTACATTGACACTTTTTTGCAGCTATGACGTTAACTCAAAAAACAGCAACAACGAACCAGTGGGAGGTAATGCTAAGGAATAAATAATCACTCCACATCTCTCTGGTCTGTTTTAATACACACATGCAAGAGATGTGATGTCAATTTATTACTAGAATTTCTGGCCACTAATATGAATTTTTGGCGCAAAGTACAGAAAGCAAAGGATCCTTTCTTGCTCAACAGCATGCAAATGAAAATGTAAGTGGCCAGGGAAACAAGAATATCTAGAGTGACTTGAATGAATGTTCTCGGTAAATAAACGTTTCATATTCTGATTTAACAGTTTTGTTTTTCAAAGCAAAACTTTGCTTCATCATCAATACATGTACTTCTGGCAAAATTTGTTAAATTTCACTCCCTACTCGTGTTCTGATTTGAGATCTTAAATGAAATGCAAATGGTAAGCTAACTTGCATTTCCTAGCCTTCGTTTTTAGTTTTTTCAAGATCAATATTACTCTCTTTCAAACACATGCCTCACCCTTCTTAGATGAAGCTCTCGCAATCTCTTCATCCTCTCTGCTCTTTTTTCCTCAGCCGTGGACGATGATGAAGAAGACGGCCGCGCTAGATCTTTTTCTTTGACGATGCCGTTGCTGCTCGCCTCTTTGCTGCTTTGGCCCTTCATTGCCAA